GAGGCGCTGTGTAGGGCATTCCGGGTGACAGATGAACGCTTTGTACAGAAAGCAGCCAGAGAGGTGAGTTAGAAGAATTTTAGAAAGAAAGGGAGAATTTTGGACTCTGAAGATATAGCTTTTATTTAAAAATTAAAGAAAATAAAGTAACTTTCAAGCTGGGGAAAGGTGGAGAGCAAACGCCCTCCATACCCAAATTCAACAACCCTGTTCCAGATAGGACTTGATAATCATCTGTCCCTTTCGTTCCTGTACAACCACATCTCTTGCTTCCTCTGACCTGGTGTGTTGAGCTATGCAGGTGGTGCAAGTATAATGCCTGCCCATGCTAAGCAGGAACTTCGCTTTTTCTGCAGCCAGTGCTTGACATTGAGCCTCCCTGGCTCGTGTTCATTAGAGCTCATGCATGGCACCTTTGTAATGAACCTGGAAAGCAGGAAACCTACCACTGTCTTTGAACCAGTCTTCAGGGTGATAAATCACCAGGCGGCCTGGGATTACTATGAATCAGTGAGCCCTCACTGGAGGACTGGGAAATGACAGTGATGGATTTGGAGAGGAGTAATGTGCATTTGTCCTGCCTCTCATGAAGTTGGAGTTAAAGTAGGGAACAAAAGGCCCCTGGGTGTGCAAGGGATGTGCATTATCCTGTGCCCAGCACTCTCTCTCAGGAGTCAAATTGGAATCTTTGTCTTCATGTTGCTTTATTAGTGGATGTTACTGACTTAACATGATGTGAAAGGAAACAACTAATGCTTATAAAAATGTACATTGGATTGAACCTTACTTATTAGTCACCTCGGGCATCTAGAACTGCAGCGAGCATATCGATAGCACCATGCAAAATTCACGGAGTCACTGTCTAAAACCTGCTGGCTCTGAACAAATTGGAAAGACTAAATTTCTGCATCCAGCTGAAGTAGTTTTAGTAGAATTAGTCATTGTAACCAGTTAAGCAGAAGTATTCGTAGCTTTGCACACACAAGCTTTAACCTGGGACAAGCAGCAGCAAAGGATTTGTTAGCATGTAGGTATGTACGTAAGGCATGATGCTGCAGTCTTGGTGCACACACGATACCCACTAACTTTGGGAGTCATGTGCATGTACAGACACCTTTTGAATTCTTAAGCTTGAAGTCAGTAAACTCAAAGACATTGGCTTTGAGGGAGAAAAAGGAATGGTAGAAAATGTAGGGCAAATACAGCCTCTTTTCCCCAACATTAGAACAACCTGCTTGTTTGAATGTCATGTTCTGCTTTGAGTGAAGTGGTGAAAGCTGGTCCCAGGCATTTCACTGCTCAGTTCACCTTCACTTGCTCTTTAAAACATGTGGGTGGTATGTTTTCCAGAGTCTGCGATGTGGCACCACTGGTGTGGTAACGTTCATCCGAGGAAATATGCTGCATGTGGCTTGGCTTGGCGACTCCCAGGTTATGCTTGTGAGACGGGGCCAAGCCGTGGAACTAATGAAACCCCATAAACCGGACAGAGAGGTGAGAATGGCCTGGTTCAGCTGAAGGCGGATAGCTTTCCATTTTTCATATTTATTTTCTGACTTCCAATATTTGTGACTGTTGTCTTAACGCAAAAGAGCTTTTGTACTATTGATCACTGGCTTGTCTCTCTCCTTTGGAATAGCAGAGAGAGCACCTGTCCAGATACTCCAGTTGCTTTGGATAAGACTATTGACTTGTCAGCCTCTTGTTCTGACCTGGGGAGGGGAGCAGGATAGAACTCCAGAAAGTGAAGCAGCAATCTGTGCAGTGTGGGCTCATGTGAAAACACCAATGCACTGATGAAAGTACCCAGAGCCTAATGACAAGAGACCTGATCAGCTCTTACGTTGCCTTGCGGTTTAGGACGAGAAGAAGCGCATCGAGGCCCTTGGAGGCTGCGTGGTCTGGTTTGGGGCCTGGAGAGTGAATGGGAGTTTGTCCGTCTCCAGAGCTATTGGTAGGAAATATACTTTAAAATTCTTGCACCCATTTCTCTTCCCTGATTTAACTATCAATGGGTTTCTGTTGAGCACACTGTTAATACAATAGATAAATGGAACCAGGAATAACTGTGTCAATTTTTCTCAAAAACAGATGCTGGTCTAGCCTGTTATTCCA